CCCACAAGTCATTGTAAAGGCAACAGCACATTCGAAATGCGACTATGATTCTGAATGGAAGTAGATTACCAACCGCATCCCAAAAACGATCGATCATCGGCAAAGACTATATCCCTCCATCCTTACCTTCTTGAGAACTGCAATAGCGTTGGGTTAATTGCCCCCTCTAGCATTACAGCTGAACCGCAAGCGTCATAACGCTGCAAAATGATCCACACGCACATTTTTTTGAGTAATGGAATGAAGGGAGAATGCTTTCAAAAATAATGAGTTGTGTGGGTCGTAACAAAACGGCAAGTGATTCAGAAATGGAAAGGAAAAATACAGGAAAAAAAATCATGGTATTACCCTGTACAGAATACCATGCCCAACTGAGTTTGTACGTGCACATGGCGAGAAAGGGTGTGGTCGGATGAGTCCTTACTTCCTCGTACCAGCCCTTTCTCCTTATCACCTCACTCTCACCATTCGAAGTGGAGAGGGTTAGTAGCGGAACAACCGCACCATCAGGCAACACTTAAAAATAAACGTTGGACCTTGAGGCAGTCAGGAGACGGGGGCAGTTCCTTCGCGACCGGTCGGCGCATTACCATCGTGTTTTTCAGCTGCGAAGTTAGTACATCCTTTCTTCTTGTAGGAATGCTACCATATCCAAGAAAGCGTGAGAGGATCAAATGAACGCAGGCTCTGTCTTCAAACTTCACTTCTGGCAACCCAACATAACGGACAGAAAAGCTGGAAACTCACTAATTGAAGCCCTCAAGTAACCACCGTAATCCTGGAATGTTGTGTTTTCCTAGAGCTTGGACGAATTTTTCTTGCTGACGAATCAAAAATCGTGACATGCTGTGCCTGAGAAAACGATCAACATATGCATGTTTTGCACAAAAAACTGACTCAGGTGTAAGCATTGCGTACAGCGATAATTCTTGCTAAGGAAGAACAAATGACAAACACATCTAATGACATATTAAAAATTTATTTCTATCCTTTACAACAGAACACGCTTACTTTGAGACCAGTAATTTATGGAACAATGAAAGAAACATGAATGATCATTTTGTAGCTTCCGCTTGTGAGGAGCAGTAAGTACACGCTATCAGAAAGACAAAATTAAGCAGTGCTAGTTGAGATACGGGCGCGGAGACCAGTCCTTCGGGTGAACGGCGTATGGACGGGTAGGCTTTCTCGGGTCAAATCTGAAAATTCGAGTAAAAAAACATTCACTAGTATCGGAGCCTTGTACGTGGAGGCTGTTCTGCTTTCGTATATGTGAGACTGATTCACCAAGAAAGGCAGAACCTCACTGCAGGTACAGTCTTGTTCGCTGGGGCGCTTGGAACGGCTTGACTCGGCGTGGCGCCAGCCTGTCTCCCCACCAATCGTGGAAGCATAGGCGACTTTAGTGGTTGAGAACAGGCAGGCCCCGCGTCAAACCCAACACTCCCACCGTCCCCTAGCGTCTGCTGACAAGACTCTATGCATTCAGGACTTTCTTCAACAGAAAAACTCGATTTATATCACAAGTATGCTAAGTCGTGGGAAAAAAATCTTGGTTCCAGGCGAGACTCGAACTCGTATCTCAT